CGAAATCATGAAGGGAGACAAGCTTGGGAGACAAGGCGGCAGCGGCAGCCAATTTCCGCAATCAGGAACCCATCCAGTGAGAAGTAAGAACCCCTATAGCTTCCAGCTATCTGGGGAAAAAGCACGAGTATTGGTGCTCTGGAGCCCACCTCATTCCACTTTTGCAGCTCGGACGTGGCATTCCCACGACGCTGCTCCTTCTCCTGCGCCTGCCAACATCGTTGCACTACAAATCATCAGAACTTACCTTGGCCTGACAGTACGCAACACTGGGCTGAGCTGAGCAGGGTGTCCTAACTATCGAACGATGACGTTGCGAAATGGAAACTTGGTGTGAACAATCAATTACACAGCGTCTGGGAGCCTGGACGTGAGGAATGAAAGTGTAAAGCAAGAGACGTATTGTCCCACTGCTTGAGTCAGATTGAGTGTTGTGCTGGAAGAACCAGAACAAAGGAAAACAAGTTTGTAGCACGTAGGAGTTACACATGCATCAGAATAGATCCATCTTCAGTCTTCATATCAAGCCTTTCGATCAACTGTCCTTTCCTTTCCTTTCCTTTCTTTTCCTTTCCTTTCTACACTTGTTCAACGTGTTCCATTGAGATCGTCTGCCACGATCTAGCACTCAAGCAGCACCTCCTTGCGTGCCATTTCTTCAAGTTCTTTCTCATGGTTCTCCTGTAGGCAACGCAACTACTGTGAGGCTACAAAGCATGGACAAAAGGCTACGAACAGCAAACGTTTACATGCTCAGATCCAAAGCAGAATCTTGTGTCATTGAACATGAAAGACTGCATTAGAACATTGTACACCTTCGTTTCCCGTTGGCAGCATTAGAACTGACCTCATGTATCCAATATCTACGTGTCCAAGGTCTCAAGGTGTGGACATCTCTGTCCTTCTTTCTTGCCCGCTCCCCTCCTCCCTACTTAATTAAGGAGGCGCCTGCTTATACTTTATTCAGTAAGGGAGAAACCTACTAGACGAAGTTCACTCCTACATATGGAAGCAGGACAGCTCACGCGCTATGCATTTGGTTCCTAGATATTCAGGAAACTGAAGTTGTTGAAGTCTAAAAGTGTGAACATCTCAGTCCTCCCACTCGCGGAGTGCATTCATCTCCGGGATAAGAGGAGCGCTCACGGGATCCTGCCAGCGATGTGGCACTCATTCTACTAGTAAGGCACCTTGCTACTAGTAGTGCCTTGCCACTAGTAATGCCCCAAAGACTAGTAGCGATGGACTTGTTGCTAGTAGCATGTGCAAATACGGCAAAGTAAAGCTTGACAGCTCTACGGACATTTATTGAATCTCTTGGTGTTTTTGGTCGGGTAACATATACTCAAAGCCTCCCGACAAAAAAAGGAAAACGGCTGTGATTATGTTATATGTGTTTCAACTTCCGGATTCCATGCCTTCACAGGCACGCCTTGGAAAGGATCCTGATATGCTGCTGGTGGAGCACTGTCCATCGCCTGGCGAGCACGTTGTCCCTTGATGCATCGGTGACAGAATCAATTTGTGTTTGTTCAACACCTAAAACAGCGAAAAATACACGCGAGTCATGGGAAAATAGGACTCTTCACCTTTCTGGCTCACTGTGCACTCCTCCTCTTTCTTGGAGACTTATGTAAAAAGCATGTCAAATATCTTGCAACTTAAAAATGTCGTCTATCTCCGAAAAGAAACTAGCCACCCTCTAACAGGTGAAAACAAGAAAGACTGCAGTGGACTCGGTTGGAGGCCATCGATATTAGAAACAAACGGAACAGAAAAGGAAGAAAGGTCTACAGTAATACCAATAACCGGTTCTCAACGTCTTCACCTGAGTCTCGCCCATGAACGGTACAGGCTCGGCTGGTGGCATCTGGCAACAGAGTTCCAAATTCCAAATGACCCACAACAAAGAACATCAAAGAACCAAACATTGCAAAATATCCTGTTCATACTCCTTCATTTGCTTCAACGTACAACCTCTGAGCTCGATCTTGTAGATTCGTGCCCGATGAATGTGACAGGCTTCCGACAAAGCAACTTTGCAGCGCCTCTGGCACTGCTGCAGGTGCAGGTGCCGCCTCAAGCTACAAACTAGATTTTCGTTGCCATGGTGCATGTCTATCAAGACACACATCAATTCGTAATGTGTATATATATATATACATATATATATATATATAGCTAAAGCATGAGGTAGAAATGTGATATTGCTGAAATTCCAATTCCAACGATTACGGTCGCGATGCAAGTTTCTTTACATAGATAGCATGTAATTACATGTAATTACCATGTAATTGTCTTGCTACTAGGAGCAAGGACGCTACTAGGGGCTCCTGGCATCGCTACTA